CAATCAATCAATCAATCAATCAATCAATCAATCAATCAATCAATCAATCAAATTGTGCATTTAAGTTATAAGAATGTTTAAACTAAGAACTAATGTTTTTTTTTTCTATCTTCCCAACCCCTTTTTTTTGTATATCATGGCAGGATCTGTCTCATTACTAAACTTTGTAGGCTTTATGACAGAATCTACCATAACTAATCTTATAAGCCTGTCTGGCAGCTGTTTTCAAAAAGTGAGGTAGGAATGCTTTAAGTAAATATATATTTTAGGTTTGTTTTCCCAGTCAGTTAACCATGTTTATATTGCAATAGCGCTTATTCAGAATAACTTTTTTTGAGTGCATGTGTGTGTGAATAAATCGGTTTAGACAGAAACAATTCTAATAATAATATTCTGTCAAATTTGCCTTAAAGCATAGATGCAGTTATGTAAAAAGCTTGTGTTATGTGTAGTTCAATAAACAAACAGCTGGAAAGCAGAAGTCAGAGGAGAAAACATTTTCTTTTTTAAAAAAGTGTTTACTACTCTTGTTGATTTCCTTCAGACAAATCTCAGCCGTAATACTTTTTTTTTTTAAATCCAGCCTAGGCTGTTTCTAAATGTTGGCTGAGACCACAGCAATCTGTTATGAGCAGTTAAGTGCCAATTAAAACTTCAGTTTATTTAATTTGCAAGAAAATACATTCAGCAAGGACTTGAATTTCTTGTTCAGTATTGTAAATGGAATTTTACAAATAAATCCAGTGAGAGAGAACACTTGTTTAAATAGCATTAAGACTGAGGTTGCATGTGGCCCTTTTAGTTAAAAAATCAGAACCAGAAGGTTGAAGGGAGGTAGTTATTATGATTGTTGTATTTTGGCTAAGTGCAAACCCTCTCTGTATCTTCATACTAACCAATGAAGAATTAAGATATTAAAGACATAATTTTAAAAGTCTTTCCAAAGAATGGTGAAATACTGGCAAATGTCCATATTCTGACACCTGTAATATAAAATTAAACACAGAGTTATCATTGGAGATTATAACTACTTGTGATAACACAAAGCAATGCAATAAGAAAAGGGCACTTCTAGAATAATGAGTGGAGTTTAATAATGGATAAGCTTCTATTTTTAAAATCTTCATTTAAAAATGTGCCATAGCCTATAACCTTTCAAACTAGAAACTTAGATAGGGACATATACCCAAATCATGCATCACTTAAATTACTTATTAAGGCTGCAGTCAGAAATGATTTATTATATTTACATATATCAACTTTTCTCCAGGAGCCAAAGCAGCATACATCATTCTTCCTGTTCATCCATCCATCCCCTTCATCCTTACAACAGTCCTATGGGGTAAATTAGATTGAGAGATAATGACAGCCTCAACTTTACCCACTAATGAAACCACCTCATTACAGTGTGGGATATTCTTGTCAGAGGCCACTGAGTTGAGTTCAGTGCATAGTGATTGTGTGGACATATGCCCACCTCAACCTGACTTGGTAAAAACCTGTATTTTTCTAAAAACATTCTAATAATTTCTTTGACTCTGTCTAGTTTATCCATTCCCATCTTCTGCTTCCCTCAATCTTGCCAAGCATATTTTTTTTCTAGGCCATTATCTGCTCACATCACATACTCCAAGTATACTTGCTGATCTTTGCTTCAAGGAAGCAATCAGTCTTTATTTGTTCCAGTATTAACTGATTGGTTCTTCCTGCAGTCCTTGTTAGTCTTAAGAACTACCTCTAAAACCATAATTAGTACACATCTATCTTCTTTCCCTCACTCCTTGTCAATGTCCCATTTTCACACTTACTATTGGAAAGACCACTGTTTTAAGTATTATGATCTTTGTTGCCAGTGACATGTTCTTATTCTTCATGATCTTGTCTGTTTGCCTTCCTCTGTAGAATTAATCTTCTCTTTACTTCTCCAGTACCTATCTCTCTTTATCTATTCAAGTCCCAGAAACCAAGCTATCTACCAGCTACACAGCTTCACCATCAACTTTGAGTTTACCAAGCATGCCAGTGGATACCACCTTAGTCTTCTTAATATTTAATAATAACCTAGATTTCTCACTTCCTGTTTTTACTTTCATATTGAACTCTTCTTAGTCTTTCCTGTTTTAACTAACAAGGTAATATCATCTGCATATCTCAGATTGTTAGTGTTTTAGTCTCCAATTCTGATTCCAATTATCATCTTTTCCTCTCCTGCCATTCTTATAATATATTCACTGTAGAAATCGGAGAACAAGATTCATCTTTGCTGTACTCCCTTCCCTATTCTGAATTATTCTGTTTCCCCAAATTCACAAGTTAAGGAAAGTGATTGATGGAATCCCCTAGCTTTGTTTGCCTTCTGCCAAACATCACCTGCCAGGAAGAAAGCAACCACCAATCATTCTCTGTAATGTAGGGTAGGGCAAGTTTGGATCAATGGGTCATTAAAATGGCAGGTTTAGCTACCTGTCAAGTAGCCTGATGAATAGGTCACAGGGGTGGAATGGTGTACAAGATGAAATGGAAAGGACCATCTCCAATGCTTCTTGCAATCCCTCCTTTATACCTGTGACACATTGGTCAGGCTACCTTTAAAAAAGTGATAAACCCATCTTGAAAAAATAGCTGACACACAGGTTCTTGAAGCAAGAGCATTGAGAGAGCTCCCTCCTGGTTCACCCTGTGGCCTTCCTCTGCATGTGTGACAGGTCACCTGGGCTAGCTTTGAACATGACTTGTCTTTCAAAAAAAGTTAGAACTTTGTTCAGGAACAGCCTGACTGAGAGGCCACAGGCACAGAAGAAAGGTTGAAAGGAGCACCAGATTTCCCTGGGTTTCCTGGGCAGAGACATAGGGTTTTTCTATACTGTAGCCTTAAGCTGCTACACTGTCAGTGTAAACCAGCTGGAAATAAAGCTGGTTGGAGAAATCCCTTTCTGAATTTCAACCCCTTCCTCTGTTTTGGCTACTATGTGGCCTGATGTTCTGTCCAGGCCACATTAACTGTGGCCCTGATTGGTAGCTATCCTTTCTATCCTTGCTGGAAATTGCTTTAGTTCCATGTGTGGGTTTTTGAGGTTATGTGGTTTCTGTTGATAGACCATTTGTCTGAACCTCCCTCCATTGTTTCCCCTTGTAACTGGCACATCCACTGGTGGACTGGTAAGAGGGAGGGAGGGAGGGAGGGAGGGAGGGAGGAAAGACAACACCACCACAGTTTTACCATTCTTCTTGTCATTTGGGTTATAAGAGAACAATGAATGACTGATTATGTGCCATCAAGTTATTGTTGACTCTTAGTGACCAAATGGATAGATTTTCTCCATAATGATCTGCCCCTAACCTGGTCCTTCACTGTTGGTTCTTCCAACAGCGCACCCATTGCCACTGTAAGCAAGTCCATCCATCTTGCTGCTGGTCATCCTCTTTTTCTCTTTCTTTCCACCTTTCCCAGCATCAGAGCCTTCTCTAGAGAGCTAGATCTTTGCATAATGTGTCTGAAATAAGATCATTTGAGCTTGGTCATTTGTGGCTTGAGTGAGAAGTCTGGGTTGCTTTGTTCATTCATCTTTGTTTTCTTGGCTGTCCACCGTATTCTGAGGAATCTTCTCCAACACCAAAGTTCAAAAGCATCAATACTCTGCCACTCAATTTCATCTGATTTTAAAAAAGAAAAAAGTCCACAACTGTATCAGTGAACTTGTAAAAAGACAGAACAAAACCTAGACTTCCATTATTCCATTGATGAACATGCTTTGTTTTTTTTTAAAAAAAAGCCATGGAGGGTGATGATCAGGAAAGCCATGGAGGATGAGGGAAAGGAGCTCTCCTTCCACATCACACAGTAGCCATTTTATTTCCTTGTTTGTTTATTGTTTAATTCAATTTAGGCATCTCCTGATTCCAACTGACTTTGGCTAGCTCATAATATAATACCATAAAATAAAATACCATAAAATCCTGTGAGAGCAGAGGTGAATGAAATGAAACTCAGAAGATGAACCACACAGAGCTATCTGTAAACACAATTACAGATGTGGATGGAAGTTGTTTTTCTGCTGCAGTGGGGTTGGGTAGAGGAAGAATTTGGGCATTCCTGATATGATCGGTGGCCTGTACGTGTGGTGGGCCAAGTTAGCCCTTTGGATGAGTCTGTAAGGAGGCATTCCACTATGCTGCTGTAGGGAAGCATGGGAAGCCAAGGGACTGGCAGCTGCCAAAGGGCTCCTACCCAAGCAGCACCATTCTATTGTGGTTTATCTTTGTCTGGAATATCCAGTGAGAGAAGTGATGGTGGAAAAGAAGGACAGTATGATATCAAGGAGAAGTTGAATTGCAAATACCTTATATTCTTTCTTGCTTCAGACCAGTAATTCGTAAAAAGGTACACTTTGTGGGAGTGACTTAAGGAGCAACACTGATGCCTTAAGCCTTGCAGAGATTTAATTAAGTTACCTAGAGCAGCTGTTAGAAAGCCTTGGAATCCTTTATGAATCAGGCTAATTTTCCCCATCTGTAAGTCTTAAGGTATCTATTTCTCCACTGAGGATGCCCCACAAAGTCCTAGGCCCAGAAATAGGTGTGGTCTCACAGGAAGAACTAGAGCTCCATGGCCAAAAAAGGATGCCCATCCCTGAGTTGGTTTAATAAACTACATCACGCTCAGCAAGGCTTTTTTTCTGAGATGGCACTGGACAGCACTCAGGAAAAGTATCATATAAATCACTAGACCGCTGGTTTCAGTTTCACATTCACTGTATTTTCTATAACTGTTTCTTTAAGACAGAGAGAGCGAGAGAGATGGATGGATGGATGGATGGATGGATGGATATCAGGTGGGCTGAGCATGTAAGAAATGACAAATTTCTAGGGCAGAAAGCCAGCCCATCATATCAACCATGGATGGTATTTAAAAAAAAGTATGTTGTGAAAGCTCATCTTTTGGGAAGTGACTGATGGATTTCACATAGCATTCTAATTTGGGTTTAATGATGCTCATTAAAAAAGCATAAAATATGTACCAATTTCTACCAACAATTGTGCTTATTATCATTCATATAAAATCACAGATCCTCTGTTTTCTGGAACATTTGGGGTTAGCTGTCAGAAAAGAAATGCTAAAAATAAATAAATAGATGACAAAGCTAGAGAATGTTGATCTGGCTTATTTTTGTTTTAGGTTATTATTATGCAATAACAAAATGTTCTTACTATATTTACCAGAGAGACATTAAGCCAGCCTTAATTAAATATCACTTTCTTTTTCTTTTTTGCTATAACCCATATTAATTCTATAAAAAGAAAGAACTATTAAAAGGAATTTGCCATAAAAGGAATTTGCCATCTGAATTTATAGGGCCATTTTCAAAACAATAAATTCGGAGGTTAAAAACTACATTATTACAAAATTATGCACGTGTGACTTCTGGGGAAGAAATGGTGAACTGAAAATGGCTCTGCTAAACGTGGAGCCGATGATTGCCACGTATTGAAGAGCCGGCAAGTAGACTGGCTCTTTGTAATTCCTCTCTGGACAGAGGACTTGAGATTGCCCACAGTGCCCACAAGTACTCCAGACAGTTGCTCCTCATGAGGAGACTGCAAGACAGTGGTCTCCAGTGGGTTTAGAGCTCTGGGAGACAAGGGAATAGCTATCTTGTTCAACCCACGGTTGGCACCTTTAAGGACACTAGGTTTGCATACTTCCTTTTCTAATCAGTTTTGGAAATTGCTTGGTAACTGCTTTTCAGCTATTAGGAACCTTTGGATCAACACATTTTACAGCACCAGTTGAGTTTCCTTCAATCCTTAGCGAAAAAAGTTTTAAATACAAGTTTAAGAACTTAATTTTTTTTTCTTTTGGAATAAGCAGCAAAAGGGTGATTAGAACTTTGATTTTGGAAAGTTGCAAACAGACTAAGGGTCCATTTGGATTTGAAATAAAATTTTGGAATTAATTATAAGAATCCTTCCTGTGGGAATATGCTTTTGTTTTGAATTCTCTTAAAAAAAAAACATGATAGGATGAGACTTTGAAAGTTGGACAGAGGAGGGAACCAGAAGGAACTAAAGATTACAATTAAAGGAGAAGAACACTTAAATTTGACTTAATACAGAATGGAGCAAAGGATAATTTTCAATACAGGATGTATTAATTTTAAGAGTGTCTGCCTCTATAGACAGACTATGTTTAAAAGATGTTATCGGAGAGGAACAAGTTTTACCCAACGAGATTGAGACTGATCTGAAAGTGGACTTAAAAATGAATGAAAAGAATGATATGGAAAAAGATGCTACACTGGATATACAAATGAAACTAGCTAATGTCTTAATAATTAAAAGGGATATCCAAATAACAAACCAAAAGAGTGACCTGGATAATTTTCCTATATTGGATG